TTAGTTTTCATTGATTTCTATGATTGTTTTTAGGATGTCTCTATCTTCTGGAATTAAATCTTAGTAGGTTACGTGTACTTGTTATCCAGGAATTTTCTGCCTGTCTTCCTGGTTTTCCAGTTTGTTAGCATATGGTACTGAAAAGCTATTTCTTTGAAACCTTGTGTTTCAGTGATGTTGGTTGTGATGTCTGCTTTTCTGTCTGTAATTTTATTTACTGGAGTTTTTATCGTTTTTGTTAGTCTGGCTAGGAGATTATGTACTTTTTTAAAAAATTTTTTGACAGGCAGAGTGGACAGTGAGAGAGAGAAACAGAGGGAAAGGTCTTCCTTTGCCGTTGGTTCACCCTCCAATGGCTACTGCGGCCGTGCGCGCTGCAGCCGGCACACCGCCTTGATCCGATGGCAGGAGCCAGGTACTTCTCCTGGTCTCCCATGGGGTACAGGGCCCAAGCACTTGGGCCATCCTCCACTTCACTCCCAGGCCACAGCAGAGAGCTGACCTGGAAGAATGGTAACCTGGACAGAATGCGGCACCCGACTGGGACTAGAACCCGGTTGTGCCAGCGCCACAAGGCAGAGGATTAGCATAGTGAGCTGCGGCACCGGCAGGATTATGTACTTTTAAAAAATTTTATATTAGGTATGTAAATTTCATGTATTTCTTATATACAGATTCAGAACATACATACTGGTACTTCTTTCACGCTACCATCTCTCAAACCTACACTCCTAGCCTCTTCTTCCTCCTTCTCTTGTTTCTACTCTTAATTCTTCTAATTATCTATTTTCAGTTAACTGCATATACATATGATATGGTAACTGTATTCAACCGGAGTATGAAGAAAAAAGCACTGTTCTTTAAAAGTGAGATAAGAACTATAGGAAACCATCTTATCGCAGAATGTCATTTTGTCTCCTACACATTACATTTAGGTACTCTATTAGTTACCGCAAATTAGGGAAAAAATACGTTATTTGTCCTTTTGGGACTGGCTTATTTCACTGAATATACTGGTTTCCAGTTACATCCATTTTGTTGCTAAAGACAGCATTTCTGTGTTCCCCAATGGTGATATTCCATAGTGTATATATGCCATAATTTCCTTATCCAGTCATCAGTTCATGGACACCAGGTTTGATTCCATATCTTAACTGTTGTGAACTGAGCTGCACTAAAGGTGGAGGTACTGATAACCCTTTCAAATCTGCTGAGTTCATTTCCTAGGGTAATCCCAAGTGGAGGGATTGCTGAGTCGTATGGTAGATACATTTTCAGCTTTCTGAGGTATTCCCATACTGTCTTCTGCAATGGCTTTACCAGTCTACATTCCCACTAAACAGTGAGTGGATCAGGGTAACATATTCCCCAGGCCGGCACTGTGGCTCGCTAGGCTAATCCTCCACCTGTGGCGCTGGCACCGGGTTCTAGTCCCGGTCGGGGCGCCGGATTCTTCCCGGTTGCCCCTCTTCCAGGCCAGCTCTCTGCTATGGCCAGGGAGTGCAGTGGAGGATGGCCCAAGTGCTTGGGCCCTGCACCCCATGGGAGACCAGGAAAAGTACCTGGCTCCTGCCATCGGATCAGCGCAGTGTGCTGGCCGCAGCGCGCACGGCCGCGGCAGCCATTGGAGGGTGAACCAACGGCAAAGGAAGACCTTTCTCTCTGTCTCTCTCTCTCACTGTCCACTCTGCCTGTCAAAAAAAATATTCCCCAAATCTTCAGCAGCAGTTATCATTTTTTGATTTCTGTATGAGAGCCATTCTGACTGTGGTCTGGTGAAACCTCATTGCCATTTTGTTTTGCATTTCCTTGATGGCTAGTGATCCTCAGCATTTTTTCATGTGTCTGTTGGCCATATGGATTTCCTTTCTTTTTTTATAGTTAATATGTTCCATTTAATGTGTTATGTTGGAGTCTTTTATGTGAAATTACAGTCACCCAGTACTAGTTGCTTTTCATGCTTGTTTGTTGAAAAAACTCATCAGGGAAAGCATCCATGCCAGAGTAGAACATAAAGAATTATAAAACAGTCACCCTGGAGAATATGGATTTCCTTTCTTGAAACATGCCTGTTCATGTCCTTTGCCCATTCTTAACTGGATTTTTTGGTTTGTTGTTGAGCTCTTTGTAGTTTGTGGATATTAATCTTTGATCAGTTTCATAGTGTGCAGACCATTTTCACCCATTCTTTCAGTTCCTCTTCACATTGCTGAGTGTTTCTTTTGCAGCACAGAAGCTTTTCATCTTGAGGGAATCACATTTGTCTGTTTCTGTTTCTGCTTTTATTGCTTGTGCTTCTGCTGTCTTTTCCCAGAAATCTTTGCCTATGCCAGTGTCTTTCAGTTTTCCCCAATATTCTCTAGTAATTTGATGAGATTGGGTTTAGATTTTGTTCCCTGAACTTTTTAGTTTCTTTTTTAATAAGGTGTATAGTATGGAACTTCTTTCATGGTTCTGCATATAGAGGTCCAGTTTTCTGAGGACCATTTTTTGAAGAAACTGTCCTTTGCAATTGGAATTAACCTTTAGCTCGTTCTTCCAAGATAAATTGACTGTAGATGTGTGCAATGATTTCTGGAGTTTCTTCTTTGTTCCATTGTTCTATATGTCAATTTTTTAACTATACCAGTTGTTTTGATTGTAACTGCCCTGTTCTGTGTCTTGCAATCTGTTATTGTGATGATTCAAGTTTTGTTTATGTTGTATAAGATTGCGTTCACTCTTCGGATGTTCTGTGTTTCCATATGAATTTTAGCATTGTCTTCTCTCCATCTGGACAAAATGTCATTTGACCTTTCTTTGGGATCCCATTGTGTCTCTAAATTGCTTATGGTAGAATTGAAATTTTCATTACGTAAATTATACCAATGAATGAACTTGGAAGATTTTTCCACTTTTTAGTATCTTCTTCCATTTCTTTAATGTTTATTAATTTTCATTGTAGACATCTTCATGGATATGAAACTGGACGCAGAGTTGACGCTGAAGTTCAGCTGCCGAGTCATCTTCCATTTCTAGAGACTGCTCGATTTCCTGCTAAACACACTTGGGGCTTCTTCTGGAGAGGAGCAACTGGTGAGAGACATGACCCCCTCATGTTTGCATCAGCCTTGGGGCCCAAGGGAAAGAGTAGGGAAGGGACACCACTTTCCCTGCGGCTGGGCGGGTCATGTGGACAGTGAAGTTGACTTTCATCCCGTGACAGGGAGGATCAAATGGAGTAGCCCCAGAGGTTGAGGTAAAAGAAATGGGGGCCACGGGGTAGAGGAGAGTTAGGTGCAATGAAGATGAGGGCACTTGGATGTTGGGGAATGAGTTCCCCCTAGTTTTGCAGTGAATCAGGTGTCAAAGAATGTGGTAAGAGGAGGAATATTGGGGCATCCAGGCAATGAGAGGGAGACCTGGGAGGAGAAGTGTGTGCTGTTGCCTCAGAGTACAAAACACCAAAAGTCTGTTTTTGAGGGATATGGAAATAAAAGTTTGGGTTTTAGAATTCATGGTTAAGGATGACAAGATTGCAAGGAATCTCTGCTGGGGGGCTGATAAGGGTAAATGCCACAGAAGAACTTGGGACATGCAAGGCACTTGGGAGTTGGGGGCTGAAATGAGGTAATTTCTTTATGTCATCATCTTTTGATAGATAGGGGAAATGGAAGGATATAGAGGAAGTCAGGTGACTTTCAGCAGAATTGTAACATGAAGGAGGGTTAGGTCAACTTATAAGAACTAGTGGAGTATCAGAGTGTTAGACCCGGAGAGGGTCTGGGGAGCAACCTTAGGAAAAGTGAGGGAAGGGAAATGGGTGGATGGTAGAGGGAAGTTCAGAAGGGATGGGGAATGGATGCTGAGTTAATCAGGGAATTCAGATAGCATCTGCAGAACACTGCGAGATGGAGAGATGTTATCTGAAGAAAACTGGGTTGAGGCCGGCGCCGCGGCTCACTAGGCTAATCCTCCGCCTAGCGGCGCTGGCACACCGGGTTCTAGTCCCGGTCGGGCGCCGGATTCTGTCCCAGTTGCCCCTCTTCCAGGCCAGCCCTCTGCTGTGGCCAGGGAGTGCAGTGGAGGATGGCCCAGGTGCTTGGGCCCTGCACCCCATGGGAGACCAGGAAAAGCACCTGGCCTGGCTCCTGCCATCGATCAGCACGGTGCACCGGCCGCAGCGCACGGCCGCGGCAGCCATTGGAGGGTGAACCAACGGCAAAAGGAAGACCTTTCTCTCTGTCTCTCTCTCTCACTGTCCACTCTGCCTGTCAAAAATTAAAAAAAAAAGAAAACTGGGTTGATAAGGGGCTTGGAAACATGGAGACCCTTTCTTAGGCTGGGAATGATTTTTGTGGCTTGTAGTCTACTTGTAGACGTCAGAATTCGGAGAGGACTCTCTCTTGATAAACGTGTGCTTCTTGGCTTTTGAATGTGTCTGTTATTCGCTCACATTCGTTCTTGTTATTATCTAATACTGAATGCTTCTTGAACATCCTTGAGAAAGTTTGTGGAAAGAGGGTGATTGTCGTGATGGTGTTTTTCATATCCTTCTAGGCAGCTCTGCTTGAAAGCTGCTGCTTTCATGATGTTTTTGTTCTTATTATTTTGGGGTGCTAGGGATGGCTTGAGTCCTAAAGGATTTAAACAGAAAGAGTACGGTATGAGCTCTTGGAATAGCTTCCCAATTTGTTGGAATTCAAACTTCATGATACTTCCTATTCTACAACTGCTTTTTTTTGCCAACTCAGATATTTCCAGTTGCTTTTAGAGTCCCTAAACTGTGTCTCTGTGTCAGACTGTGACATTTATTAGGAAGGCATTCTTCCTTAAGTGTTACTTAAATGGTGTCATTCTTTACAATGCAGTGTTATTTGGTATTTTTGAGTAATATATGTTCAGAATTATATAGCTTACTCTTTTTTAATGATTTATTTTATTTATTTGAAAGACAGAATTACAGAGAGAGGTAGAGACAGAGAGAGGTCTTGCATCTGCTGGTTCACTACAGAGATGGCTGCAACGGCCGGAGCTGGGCCAATCTGAAGCCAGGAGCCAGGAGCTTCTTCCAGATCTCCCACATGCATGCAGGGGCCCAAGGAGTTGGGCCATCTTCTACTGCTTTCCCAGGCCATAGCAGAGAGCTGGATTGGAAGAGGAGCAGCTGGGACTAGAAGCAGTGCACATATGGAATGCCAGTGCGTTAGCCATGACTTTAACCTGCTGCGCCGGCCTCTGTATCTTACTCTTACTTTTAGATTATTTCTATAGAAACATTTTCATACTTATATTTTCATAAAGTCCTAGAATTTTCCACATACAATGTTACTAATGTGCAGGTTGTGTCTTTCGTTTTCTCTGTAGTGTGAGTACTTTTTTTTTCTATAAGTTTCCATTAAACATCGATATGTGTCCATTGGATGCGTGTATATGTTTAGGGTCAAAAATTCTTCAATATAATTTATAAACTAATTTAAAAATAAACCACATTCCCTTTTCTCTGCTTTCCTTCTAACACTGTCTCTCCCAGAGTCCCCTTCCATCCCTCCCTCCTTTCTTGCCTCATTTCCTTCTTTTTCCTTCCTTCCAGTTTCAGATAATATATTTTAAATTTATATTACAGTAATAAGGCTAATAAGTTTCAGAAGTAAGAACAGGTGTGCCGGTGCTGTGGTATCCCACAGGGGAGTCAGTTCAAGTCCTGTCTACTCCATCTCTCATCCAGCTCCATGCCAATGTGTGTCCTGTTGCCAGTGAGGAGTGTGCCTGTGCCTGGCGCTTTGACCCAGAAGTGCACCCGCAGGTGCCGCCACTTCTGCCCTCGATGCACTGGTGGGAGTCAGAGCCATGTCTGCTCCTTCCCAGAGCCTTGAGGAGCCGCCTTCAACGCTGGTGGCTGAACCTGAGGAGACCCAGGGCCCCCCCAGGCTCAGGCCGGGATCAGGTGAGGCTACGGCCTGAGGCGGCCGCATCAGTTTCCTTGGGCTTCTGGAAACTTCCAGACGCGGTCCTCTGCTTCAACCCCTACCTGAAGACTACACTTCGGGACTCAGTTCCTGTTCCTGAGGAACAGAAACGCTCTTTGTGGGGAGTTTGGCGCGGTGGCCTTCCTGTGACGGGGTAGTCTGGCCTGGGGTGCAGAGCACGGGGAGGGGGTGTTAGGGTGTAGCTGGGATAGAAGGTGGAGAGAGAGAGGAAGTGGGGAGAATGAAAGTGGAGAGGTGAGGGAGGGAGGGGAGAAACACATGTGGGGGAGAGGAAAGGAGGGGGAGAGTGACAGGAGTCCCAGGGCTTGTGTGTGGGAGGGGGATTGGGAGGGAAGAACTTTCCCCAGGGCTCTGGGTCCATTTGGGGGGTTTTCTGTGCCTGGCCAGAAGTAGCCTTGGCTAGCTGTGTCTGTCGAAGAGGCCTTGACTGACAGCCTCTCTGCTCCGGGTTGTTCGGCAGCATAAGGGATGTGTGTAGGAACACGGGGACACGGGGCGCTCGAATTATTGGCACGTAATCCGGTGAATTTTCACAGACTGCACACACAGAGGAGAAAGCAGAAGCTTAGAGAAATGCCAAGAATCCCTCAGTGCCCTGTTCCAGCCTGCCCCAAGATTCTGACACCTCACAGTAAGTACTAGATATTTTATTCTATTTAAAGAATGGTTTGCAAAGCAGAGTTCTAGATGAGGCAGGGGGGGAGAGATCTTCAGGGTATGGGTTCACACTGCAGGTGGCTACAATGGCTGGTGGTGGGCCATGCCGAAGCTAAAGCCATGTACTTTATCTAGTACTCCAGTGGGGTTCAGGAACCGACGTCCTCGGGCAACTTGAGTTTGTGTAACACACTACCTGTATATGTAAAGTGCTTACCCCTTTTATCACCATTTATTTGCTAAATACCGATATCACGTATAAGACTGTGAGCTTGTCCAGGGCAGGACTTTGTCTCTCTGCTTTCATTCCTATAGTCCCTGGTACACAGTTGGAATTCAGCTTATGCAGAACTAACAATGCACTCACTGTTGGATCTTGGGACAGGAACTGTTGGTTATAGAAAGGTCTGTTTACAGCAATAAAGGTAGGAGGGCCAAGAAGGGATGTTTAAGAGAATCAGCATTAATGAAGCACTTTCAGTGGTCAGGCTTCTTAATGTACCATTGTCTCATTTCTAAATAACAACACAAGGAGGGGAAGCAAGAGTTTTATTTAATTATACAACATTGTCCTGTCTAATCCTCTTCAAAACTCTGTGAGGAAGGTACCACTGATACCCTTTTAAATATGAGTTAAAGGAAGTGGGAACCAGCCCTAGGCCATATAGATATCAGTGAAGTTCCAGTTTAAATCCTGCTGTGCTTGCCCCTCCTGGGCTGCAGGGTGTGGGCTAATGTGAGAGGTGAGTGTGTGAGGAGGGTCCTGGAGGTGCAGTGCAACTTGCCTGCTGGGAGTGTCTCTGCAGGGCCAAAAGCCTTGACCTTTCAGGGTTGCCTGGATTTCAGCTTGGGCTGTCTGGAGTTGAGATTCTGAGGGCAGGAGTGTGGTGGGTCTTGCCAGTTCCCGCCTTCCTTCTCTGAGCAAAAAAGTAGCTAAGAGGCTGAGGGCCCTGTGAGTCCCTGCCCCACAGGCAGGTGCAGTGGGGGCCTGGGCTGTGCTTGCTAGCACAGGTGCCTCTGCCACACTTGATCTTGTGGCGGTTGCAGTGATTAGTAAAGTGGGTTCTTTGCAGACCCCAGGGAAGTGGCATTTCTCAGCTTCCCAGTTCCACGTGTGGTATGATGGCATGCCCCTGAGGGATCAGTGGGAACTATGCACAGGCATCTAAAGATAGGAGAAAATAGTGATTGTTAACTAGCCTCAGGCTGGCGGCTGTGCTGGGTTAGTGAGGAGTCCCCGGCCAACCCCCACAGCACCTTCAGGCAGAAGTGCTTTGTTCATCGCTGTGTTACTTTATTGCTTTCTGTCCCTGAGTTACAGCTACCCGAATGGCTTAGAATTTTCTCAAGCATGTAATTAGAGGAGTGGCTGTGAATCTAGGAAACAGTTTGGTCTTACTAAGGTAATCATTAAAAGTCCCTGAAAAGCATTTGTAGGTCAATTTTTCACTAATTTTTGCTCACTGTTTCCTCCGGTTTGTTACTCCTCTTTGTGAATCGCCTCCCCGTACCTCCCCATGACATGGTCATCTTGGAATTCACTTTGGAAATGAAGAGCATGTCTACCTCTCTGGGTTCCACTTTGGTGAATGTCACAGGCAATCCCTTCTTTACCAGTTGGGCGGTTCCATGCATGGTTTCATGAGCACATGAACATTTTGTCTTGCTGAAGGAGGCTTGTTGGCGTTTATCCAGTGAATACTGTGTATCAGTGGTTGTGAACCCTTCTTCCTCTGAGACCTTGGAACTAATTGGGGTGGTTCTGTGTGCCTGGTTAATGACGTTTCCCTCTTTGGTAACAAGGAGTGATACAGTTAGAAGCATACAGGCTTGGCTCTGTTCACACCAAGCATTTTTAAACAAACTAGCCTTTCTAAAAAGTCCAGCATGCAGACCCTCCCAGTGAGGGTTGTGTACGTGAGATGAGGTTCTCTTGGCTCTGGTGTTTTGAGATGTTTGGACCTCGTGTCATCTGAGGACATTGGCATCCAACCATCTGGCATCCAACCATCTCAACAACTAATGAAATTGATCATTTTAGCAAACTGTTCTTATTTATTCATTTGTTATCTTTAGAACTCAAAAGTTTGGAGCTTTGCTTTAGTTTCAAATGATGCTTACCTTATTTCTAAGTCTGACAAAATGCATACAGACTCTCTCATTGAAATCAGATGCAGTTTAAGGGTCTGTTTATAAGCTGTTTGATAGAACAGGTCTGTTTGTGTCTTCAATGAATGAAGAAAGGTGAAAATATTAAAAGATATGACTGTCCTTTTTTTAAAAGTTTTCTTATTTCTTTGAACGGCAGAGTTAACAGAGAGAGGAGGAGAGACACACAGAGATCATCCAACTGCTGGTTCACTCCCCAAATGACCCCAATCGCCGGGATTGGGCCATGATAAAGCCAGGAGCTTCCTCTGGGTCTCCCATGTGGATGCTGGGGCCCAAGCACTGGGGCCATCCTCTGCTGCTTTCCCAGGTGCATTAGCAGAGATCTGAATTTGAAAGTGAATTAGCCAGTGGGTCTCAAACCAGCACCCAAATGGGATGCCGCAGGCAGAGGCTTAACCTGTTGGGACACAATACCAGCCCCATGACAGTTTTTTATGTATGTCCATCAAAATCTATTTGAAACATGACAGCATGTTAACTGTCAGTTTTCAAAAAACCACATGCACAGAGGAACAAATGCACACACAGCACTGTAGCCAGGCAGCCACAGAGTGACACAGTCTCAAAGTCCCATGTGCACGCATGCAAGGCTGGCTGTGCTCGTTGGGTTTTCCAGCTTCCTGCGGAGGAGCAGTAATCCCCATAACTTAAGCCCAACCTCTTATTTCTTTGGGCTGGGGCAAGGGGATTCATGAGAACTAGATCAGAATGAATGCTAACTCACATTACTCATTAGCAGTTCTCTTTGGTGTATACCTTAGTTCCTTTATACCATTTTAAGGTGAACATTCACTAGCAGCACATGTGCAAAGTTGTGCAGCCAGCACTGGCATCTGATTCCAGAACTTTCTTCTCACTCCTCAACCCCCAAGATACATCGTCGGCTGTCACAGACAACTTGACAAAAGTAAGCTGAATCCAGGAACAAGAGCTTCTTTGGATATGACTACACTAAGTATCATGAGAGATTTGCCAGGAGTGATGGATTCACTGGTTTACAATATGCCTCATTGGAACCCAGGGAATGTTTTTTACTCTGAGATTAGAGGGCTGTCAGATCCAATTTAAGAGAGGTAATAGAATTACCTCTTAAAAACCTAGAATTATCCCAGCATGTAGGAGTAATACCTCCAAAAGGCTGTTTGTTATATGGAACTCCAGGCACAGGAAGAATGCTTTTGGTGAGAACTGTTGCTAGTCAGCTGGATTGTAACTTCTTAAAGGTTGTATCAAGTTCTTTGTAGACAAATAGATTGGTGAAAGTGCCTGTTAGATCAGAGAAATGTTTATTATGCCAGAGACCGACCATCAAACATGCATCATTTTATGGATGAAATAGATGTGATTGGTGGTCGTCGGTTTCCTGAGGGTACATCAGCTGACAGATTAAGAGAACTTTAATAGAGTTGCTAAATCAAATGGATGGGTTTGATACTCTGCATAGAGTTAAAATGACCATGGCTACAAACAGACCAGATACACTGGACCCGGTTTTGCTACGTCTGGGAAGATTGGACAGAAAAATACATATTGATTTACCACATGAACAAGCGAGGTTAGATATATTGAAAATCCACACAGCTCCCATTACAAAACATTATGAAATAGATTATGAAGCAAGCATGAACCTTTTAGATGGCTTTATTGGAGCAAACCTAAAGTGTTTGTACTGAAGCTGGTATGTTTGCAATTCGTGCTGATCATAATTTTGTAGTACAGAAAGACTTCATGAAAGCCATCAGAAAAGTGGGTTATTCTGGTTGGCACCATGGTTCATTAGGCTAATCCTCCGTGCGGCACCGGCACCCCGGGTTCTAGTCCCGTTTGGGGCGCTGGATTCTGTCCCGGTTGCTCCTTTTCCAGTCCAGCTCTCTCTGTGGCCCGGGAGTGCATTGGAAGATGGCCCGAGTCCTTGGGCCCTGCGCCACATGGGAGACCAGGAGAGGCACCTGGCTCCTGCCTTTGGATCAACGTGGTGTTCGAGCCGCAGTGGCCATTGGGGTGAACCTAAGGAAAAAGGAAGACCTTTTTCTCTGTCTCTCTCTCTCTCACTGTCCACTCTGCCTGTCAAAAAAAAGGTGGGTTATTCTAAGAAGCTAGAGTCTAAATTGGACTACAAACCCGTATAATTTACTGTCAGTTTTTTGATTGATGCTGGCAGACATTGGCTTAATGTAAAAATAAAGCTAAGCAAACAAGTGTGTACTGGCAATGATCTCATTAAAAATAAGAGTAAAATATGTATGAGTAACATAAATTAGTATATAAGTCAGTGACTCCACTTTTAGATGGGTACAGAAGAATCGGTATGTTGTTCATGTATTTATTGCAGCAGAAATTAGAAAAGAAGAATGTGTTGAAGCTTTTCATATTTGCTATGTGAACATTTTGTAAAACATTGAAAATGGTCTGGGAGTAGTACAAGAGAGTATTTCTTATGATTTATATCATTTGAGTATTGATTTAGATAGGCTATGGGAGGAAGTGAAACATCAGACCTTTGATATTTAAGATCCTCCATAATATGTTGCATTAATAGTCTTTTTTTGACAGGCAGAGTTAGACAGTGAGAGAAAGAGACAGAGAGAAAGGTCTTCCTTTACATTGGTTCACCCCGCAAATGGCTACTATGGCTGGCGCACTGCGCTGATGCGAAACCAGCAGCCAAGTACTTCCTCCTGGTCTCCCATGGGGTGCAGGGCCCAAGCACTTGGGCCATCCTCCACTGCCTTTCCAGGCCACAGCAGAGAGCTGTTCTGGAAGAGGAGCAAGTGGGACAGCATCCGCTGCCCCAACTAGGACTAGATTGCCGGTGCCATAGGTGGAGGATTAGCCAAGTGAGCTGGGCGCCGTCCAACATTAATAGTTTTTCAAAACTGTTACTTAGGAACCCAAGAATCTGCACAATAAATTTGATTTCACCACCAAAATGTATCTTCAACCTGCCTATATCTGCCACCACTCTAAGCCAAGGCAAAGCTGAACTCTGTTCTTGCATGGCTCATAGAGCAAGTGCCTACATAAATTCTGTACCCTGGATGCCACAAATGCCTGGTTATAACCCCAACCGTAGCCCATCCCACCATAATTCTCTTGACTGAATTCAGTGACCTCTGAGCTGATTTCTTCTATCAGTAATCTTTTCCTCTGTAATATGTTTTCCACTCAGCATCCAAAGAAATCTTTCTACAAATGTATTTTTAAAATTGTTTGAAAGGGAGGGAGCTGGTTGGGAATGGATAGGAGGGAGAGAGGAGAGAGGATGGAGGACAGAGGACAGAGGGGAGGGGAGAGGAAGCAGGGAGAGGAAAAAGGGGAGGGAGGAGGGAAGAGGGGATAGTAGAGGGAGATTCTCCATCCACTGGTTTATTCTACAAATATAACCCTGTGACTTGACTCCTTGTGTGTGGCTGCCTACTTTGTGCTATCCTTGATGGATTCTTTGTACTTCTCTTCCTTCTCTCTTACTTGTGCATTACCTATCATTTCAGACCACATCTGAAATGCTTTGCTCCTTTTGGGGCCCCATTTCTCTTGAGGTGATCTTACTGTGGCTTCAACCAATGTTTCTATGAGACTACCTTCCAAAGTAGTGTCTCCATCATCAGCCTTCACCATGAGATCCAAATCTCCATTGCCACCTGCCTGTTAGAGACACACACTTGAGTGTCTTGTGGGTACCACAAACTTCCTCTTCCCTTTTTTTATTTATTTTTTAATTTTTTTAATTTTTTTATTTTTTATTTTATTTTATTTTTTG